ACTCACTGATTAAAAGCTGTCGAGTGATGCGATCTTTGCATTTCTCCCGATACTCGAGTTGAATGCGATTGTATTCATTCATAACATCAATAAACTTCTGCAAAAGCATTGAGTGCTGTATTTTCCTGATCCTAAAGTCGGCGCTTTCGGAGCCACTCCTCTCCATCTCATTGATATTCATCTCAATGGCTGACAAATACGGATCAATCAATTTGCAAATTCAATGCTTAACACAAAATTATTAATACCTTTTAATTTCTCTCTAACTTTGAATGCCGTCCTTTTGATGTCTGCCATCAGGTCTTCTAATTGTCTCTTCGTATCTGTTTAATAGACACATCAAACCAACGGTTAAATAATGAATGAGACAAAAATCTAATTGAAAATAATTGCATACTCTCATCATTGGTGGTCGAACTCAAGATTTTTAAATGACTTTTATTCACTTCTTCCACATTGAATCCCATTTTGTCGATACTCTCGCGAATCACTTCCACCTGTGGATCAAATACAATGCATATCGTTAGCGATTTGTTGGCCAAACATGGCTTTGAAACTAATGGCAAACCTCTTGGAGAAAAACATCCATTTTGTTGAGTAAAGTAATACTTTCAGCGGTGGTTACGGTATTTGTTGAGCTCTTGTTAGCCTAGAGTCGCATGAATTGCAATTAATATAAACTTCAAAACACACTTGTATTATATTCAACAAATCATACCATTTGTTTATCCAGTATTTTGAATGACTTTTCACAACAACTCAGATGTTTGGTATGTTTATTACATAACAAACATGTATAACATGTATATATTCATGCATTTCATCCGTTGTTAGCAATCATTTATCGCATATATTTTTAACACAATAAATGACTAATCAGTAGTTATTTTCGCTCATATATTCGTATCGATGTTCTAAAGTAGTGCACAAAATGTAACAAAACTTTTTCTCTTCATTATATGAGTTGCGATATAATTATTACAACAATTAATGCTGAATTTTTTATTATTAATTAGCCTTTAAATCAATGCCATAATGCCATGTACATTTATATCGAACAAGTACACTTTGCCCGTATAATATAAACGCATCGATTAATTGTTAAATATAAAGAGGTTTACTTGTATCTCAAAACGTAAAAACAAAACTTTAATCCCTTTATATCTATATCTATGAGTTTTGTGTGTATATATTAGAGTGAAAGTGAATGCAGAGCCAAAGCTGTGGTGTTTCGCACTACACGTACACTAATATCACTGTTGGCTTATATAAGTGGACATATATGTTGGCTTATATACGACCGGAGCCGCCATTCGCGCCGACACCTCCTATGGCACCGTTCGTGAAGCCATTGCCCAGAATATTGTGAACGATATCGTATTGAATTGTCTTAAGACCGCAGCCGTACAGCTCTACCGACTGGAGCAGTGGTAAGCCCACAAACGCCTGGCCATCAATAAAGGCCAGTCGGGGGTTACTGTGTAGGGCCAGTGAGTACAGGTTGGGCAGATCCCAGAAGGCGTACCGGTCGATGAGAGTCATGTGTGGGCACCGGGTCAGCGATATGGTGTTGGCCGGCAGGTGCCCAAAGTCACCGGTAGATATTTGCTGTATAGGGTTGGCGTCCATACGTATAATGGCTATGCGTTTGAGCGACTGGAGTGCGATGGCGGGCACCCGTACCAGACTGTTGTCCTCCACGTGCAGCTCCTCCAACATGTCCAGCCCTACGAAGGCGTTGTCGTTGATGGCGATGATCTTGTTGTGCGAGAGTTGCAGTTTGCGTAGTGAAACTTTAATCCCTTTATATCTATATCTATGAGTTTTGTGTGTATATATTAGAGTGAAAGTGAATGCAGAGCCAAAGCTGTGGTGTTTCGCACTACACGTACACTAATATCACTGTTGGCTTATATAATAGATTATATTTGTATATTTTGTAGTTATCAACATTGTTGTTGCTTTCAATATAATCTAAATTTTCCATATTATCAATACCCGTTGCTAATGAAACTGCACTTTTATTATTAGTTATCAATTATCCCAGAATTTGATTCATTTGTTGATCTAAGTCCAGAATATAAGTGCATTTCAACCTTCATTTATTTAATGAGACTAAAGAACCAAATTTAATTTTTATATATTTTTGTAATTTCAATGTTATTTTTACTCATTCTGTAATTTACTATACTTTACAATATAAAGTTTAAATAAAGTTTATATAATAGCTGTATCTCTCGTTGGAGAACCTAGTATTATAAACTATAGTTTTTGAAATAATGATTGTCTACTTTCAGTCTAGATTCTCAATATTAAGTCGTGTCAACATAATAGTTATGTTCACGAGTCAAACAAATACTGTATCAAACTATTATGTTCAATCATTAAAACTGTGATATAGAAGTAATATAAGTTAGATTAAACATGGTCATTATGAATTATGGAAATAAAAAATTGGATATATTTTCAAAAATTCATTTTTATTCTGTTTTTTAAGAACTTAAATGTGATAACAATTAATAATTGATTTATTTTTTAATAAAATGATTTGTTTGGAAGTAATGGGTATTAAATTTTTTTATAATTATAATAAAATGAGGCAAAAGTTGTTATTGTTTTTTCTTGTAATTATTTATAATAATTATATGAACAGTATTTATATATAATAATCATAATAATAAATATAATAATTGTTAAACACTATTATATATATAATCAAAGTTTTATTCTTATTAAGTGTAATATTTTTTGAAATATTTTTTGTTTGTTGTTTGTATTTGTTTGTTATACAGTATTATTTAATTTTTTATTTTATATATAATTATATATATTTATTTCAAAATTCTTATTTAATTCTTAATTGAATATATAGTCTATAATGTGATCTCACAATCGCTATGAAGTATATATCGAGAGATATAGAGATAGAGTTTTTGTCTGAAATACAGTATATATACTGCATATTAATGTCATACCAATGATTTGAAAATACATTTCTACACACAAAAAGCAATGTGACATACATTTTACCTTTTTCATTATTACAGCATATTTTTGGATTTTTGTCATGTTTTTTAAAACACATTCTTGTTTTTGTTGTATTTTTAGTTTTTGGTTGGTTTTCAGTCGAGTGTATGTATTATACAATCAAAGTTTATGTATTTACAAATTTATTAAAATTTCATTATATTTATATTTTATATATCATTGTATTTTCATTGCGTGTTTTTTATTTCCTCACAAAATCAATAAATTTCATTAATTATTTTTCATTGAATATTATTTTTTAGTTTCAAAAGCAAATCACTAATCGATAGGCAATCAAATTTATTGCATATTAATAACCGTTTGTTTCCAAACATTATTATTTTGTTTATTATATATATAATAAAATAATTTATATATATTTTTATATTCAACTATTCTGTGAGAAAGAGAGAAAAAGTGATAGAACTAGAGATAGACTATAACTTATAGTATTTTGAGATGCATTGTGTGTATGTCTGGTATGTCTGTCCCTAATATATACTGTGAGCGCAACCGACAGCCCGTCGGCCGACACTCACCCAAAAAATGTTTGCGATGTTTAAAACACGGGTAGAAAGAGATACAAATTCATTGGTATTATAATACAGTATATGATTAGTGAGAGATTGAGAAAGAGAGTCGAGAGATAGAAATGAAAGTATATGTATATTATATATATTATAATAGATATTTAGTTCGCCTTCAATTGCGGTCCAAATTCTCTGCTTATATATTATATTTAGTGATAGAATTTGTCACATAATTTGCTACCAAAACACTCGCCCCTTTGCCTCATCCGCTAATAACTTGCCATTAATATTATTTTCTCAGGTATTTTAATTGCCTTTTGCCTCAGTATATAGTGGTGTGTATTGTGTGTGAATTCTCTCTATTGTGTTCGTGCCATCGATATGGCCTGTATTAGCACATATGGCCATTGCTATGAAGCCAATAGTACCTTATGGTCACTTTTTATTGACTGATCATTCCTTGTGCACAACTATTTATGTTTAGGATTTGCTTATAATCCGGGAAATTATAAATATGTAACAATTCAGTCAATAGTTTGCTTTATTGTATAGAATTTTTTTCAAAAAAATGTATAATAGTTTTGAGTGGTTTTATAATATTGAAAATGTTCCCAATTTTTGCTTTCATTATCCCAACAAATAAATACCAAAATGTTTTTGTTTTAAAATCAATTTAATTTAATATATCATAAAATAACAATATTTTTGCTAAAATTATAGGCTCTTTATATACAATAATAATAATAAATCATAAAAAGTTAATTATATAATAATTCTATAGAATATTCTCGTAATTTATATAAACAAATATAAATTAAATAATAATTTAAGTAAATTAAAGCAAACAATTGTATAATTTTTCGATTAATGAGTACTTAAATGGTTTGAAACAAAAATAATAATAATAATACAAAAGGTAATAAGTTTTGGTAATAAGCGCTCAAAATTATACATTAAACTGTGTTTATTGTCTGCGATTCATATATTGACTTATAGTTAATGCAATAATCATTAATTTCATTGCAAATGAATCTTATATTTTGCAAAAATTATTGTTATTTCTTTCCACTCATTACTTATGAAAAGTAATTAATAATAATATTCCTAATGATTGGGCGATAAACAGGGGCTTTAATGTGGAATTAATTTTGTAAGAATTTTTATAAGAATGTGCTATAATTTTGATTATAATTAAAAAGTGGATTAAAATTCATAATTGGTATTTAATTTGCCTATAATTTGTATAGTATTTTCTATAATTAAAATGACAATTAAATTCAAATATTATTATTCATTTCTCGAGAGGCAATAGTTATTGATTTTCACTCTAATATCAATTAATCGTAAGTATGTTTATATCGTATTTAATAACTAATGTGTAAAGAGAGAGATAGAGAGAGATCTCGATTCTTATAGCACCAGCACATCAATTGAAAATAAACAGTAATCGTAATAATAATTATAATAGTTATGCCACTAAATTATATGTCAAAGCGTTTTTCTCAAATTAGATCACAATTGTATTGTTTATAACACAAGAGTTAGAGATATAGCGTAAGAGTAGGGGAGAGGGAGAGAAAGCAAAAGTTGTTGATTATCTGTTATATAGAAATCGATTTCTCTGTTCATTAAAACATTAGAAGAGGAATGAAATCCAAACCGCGTATTCATACCACACGTGTGTCGCAAATATGATGAGAAGTTTGAGTGGTGTTGTGGTTGTTATTTATATCAACCGTAGATGCAGTTTGAAATTCAATTGTATGTTTCACTTATGTATTTATATATAATATTATATAATAATAATAATAGTTGTAATTATAATAACAATAATAATAGCGTTAGGGCTAAAAGCCGACCATTCCTCCAATTACTGAGATCAATACGAATCCCAATATTATGAGACAAATTAAAATCATTATTTGCTTCTGTATTCCCGAAACGAATCAGTTTTTCAACAAAAAAAATATATAAAAAATATTATATTAATTCTTGTGTTTATTTATAGAATATATCGATAGTTATAGTGAATAAATAGCAAATAAGATAGTGAGACATACCCTCCGGGCCTTCCGCTGGTATTCCATCGCTTTTTTAGTGTCTTTCACCGCTTCCTCGACGTATTCGAGAGCACTCGACACATGAAATTCAATTCTGTCGATCATTTCTCCCTATTATATACATTACATAAGACTTTCGATAATTCTATGTTTCGATATTCGAGTCAAATATAAGTAACAAAAAAACTTGAAATACATTTAACAATTCAGAAGTAATTTAAATACATATAAATAATCAAAAAATTATTACTTGAAATATAAGAGAAGTATTGAGAAGTTTTAAAAAATAAATTAACAGCAAATTAAAAACAGGCAACAAATCAATTAAAATAAGAAATAAATAAATAAATGACTAGTTCTTCAATAACGAGATCTTTTTTGGGATGAAAATAACAATATAAGACATCCAGACGTCTGTCTGTCTCAACAATTAATGAGCGCTGGAATGCATTGCATCGCTACTTATGAACCAATACTTCCAATACTTGTATAATACTTATAATACTTTGGGTTTATTTGTATTCGTGGGTATCATTTGATAAACAAACGGCTTTTCAAAGATGTGTGCAGTGTTTATAAGGCTCTGAGAATTAATTATAATATATAATAAATGCATTTATATATCACATTTCGCCAAAACAATTCGTCGCTTTGTTTATGAGTTATGCAACAATTCATCGGTAGATATGGTATATATATATATGTATAACACCGTAAAGTGTGTGTCAAATGAGACAGTCTTTTCAGTTCAAGAGATTCGCCATAAATTCTTCTTTTCAAATGTCTTTGCTTTTGAACACAAAATGTAAATTTTGAGTGAAAATTATAAAACGCGTCGAAAAACAATTTGCTATTCATTGAGATGTATCTAATAATAATGGTTAGAATCCTAGGACACCGCCGACGACACTCAAGAGGACGATCACCAAAATTATTAGACATATTATTATCATTATTTGTTTCTGTAAATGGTTTGCAAAAAAAAAGACATTGAAAAAGACAATTAGTTTTATATTGTTTTATATGCAAAAAACAAATGTCAAAAGTTATAGCGAGAAAAGGTAGGGAAGAAAGTGATAAATCGATGGCTAGAAAGACAACAACAAGCACTCACTCGTCTGGACTTGCGTTGAAACTCTCGGGCCTTTTTGGTGTCCTGTTTGGCGGTCTCGATGTACTCTCTGGCGTGTTCGACGTGGTATTCAATTCGGTCTATCATTTCTCCCTATATTATGTCGATTCGATCAAATAGTTTGTCATTGTTTTATAGGCAGACATCACACACACAATAATACGATTATATGTTATTATAAAGCCTTAACTGACAGAAACACATTGCGGAAGAGTTTGCGGTTAAATGTATTGCGGTTTTGAGACAAAGAGAGAGAATTGGCTTTTAAATGATAAGAGAAATTCAACGGTAAACCCATTCAGACAACACGTTTAGAAGACCGGACAGTAAGACATGAGTTTTGATTTGACAGTTGGAGTTAACCACGAATTTTGTATATATATATTTGTTAGCGAAGCAATTGGCAATTGATTAGTGCATTCAAAAATGGTTGGACTCTTTATGGTTAATAATAAATGAGTTATGAGTTTGTAAAGTGAGTATTGGATTGAATTGAGAGAAAAACGAAAAAATAATTAAATTATTAAATTAGAAATAAAACAAAGTTAAGAAAAAACATATTGAAAGCAATGAAAGCAAATAGAAAAGCAGTAAAAGTGGCACAAAAATCACAAATTACAACATAAATGTCAACATAAATAACACAATCGGTGGCACAAGACTCGTGGCACAGATGATTGGTTACCTGACTCTCGACAAGCATTGCCATATCCATAAACATGTCGTGCAATTCACGTATACTGTTCTCCAATTTAATGATGTCCGCGTGTCGGGCCTCGATGTCCGCCAGTGTCTGCTTCGCCTGTTGTGTGTCTGTCATGATCTGCACACAAGACAAACAAATGGTAAGTATATAATGCATTGGCAAACGGCTATCCAATAGAATGACTCACTCCTTGAGTAAAAATGGCAGAGTTTCCACTCTCTAACATCTCTTCCAGTTCTTCGTTAGTTGTCGAACGACCAGCTGTTAGGGGACAACAAAACCCGACGGTTAAGTAAATGTCAACAATAATTATTGAATTTAACGTCAAAACGAAAGACTCACTAATTTCCAGCTGTCGTTGGATTCGCGCTTTACATCTCTCCCGATAATCGGTTTGCGTTTTGTTATAATCGGTCATCACTTCCACAAACTTTTGCGATAACATCGAGTGCTGTGTTTTCCTGATGCGGAAGTCGGCGCTCATCATCGATGTCTGTTCCAATTGCTCTATGTTTTGCTCCATCACTACACCATTCAATCACATTAGCAATCAATCAAATATTAAAACCAAACCAATTGTCACAATAGTTGACAACAATTGGCTTTTAGAGCGATAATAACCTTTTAATTTGCCTCTCACTCTATTGGCTGTTCTCTTGATGTCTGCCATGAGATCATCTAATTGTTGTTTCACTTCTGTTTACATACAAAGACAAAACACAATCATTTAATATAAAGCAAAAAACATATCATAATAAATGTGTGACAAAACAGCTGCGGCTGAAGACATACTGTCGTCAGTTTGTGGTGCACTTAATATCGCGGAATGAATTTTCTTCACTTCCTCCACATTTGTTTGCATTTTTTCGATGTTTTCGCGGATCTGTTCCACCTATTGATGGCATAATAGACATAGAGTTAGCAATCAGTCATCACTAGCGGGTCATCGACGGTGTGGTACCTCTTGGAAGAACTCTTCCATATATCCTCCCCTATCGTCGACACCGACGGCCACGTCGTCGTCGTCCGCCTGAGCCTAAGAGAGCGCATCCGATACAAGACAATCAGACAATGAGTACAAGAGTATAACAGACAGGGATGTGATAAGTGGTGATGTATTTACGGCTTTAAGCGCTGCTAATCTGTCTTTAGTCATGACGAGTGGTGTTGTGTTGTCTTCAGTGTCTTCAGTGTCGTCACTGTGTCCTCAATAGTGTCCTCAATAGCGGACACCAATTGATTGTGAGATTCAAAACAAACGCCAATCAAATGATCGCAATATATAGACAACAAAATCACGTGTTTTGCGATTCAATTGCTATTCAATGAAACAGTGATTGAAAGCTATCATCGAATCGATTGGTCGACACTTAATAGCATTGAATTGTTTACTAATGTCTTATAATTGGCTAAACATTAATACAACTGAATGTATAATACAATTAATAATACAATCACTCAATCGCTCGACCAATCAGTGAATGAGTGACTCAATCAGTGATCCAATGATACAGTGATTGTGTTTAACGTTCCAAATAGTAGTCATCAACGGTTAGAATGCATTCCATTCGCAGTTCAGTCCAATTGACTCATAAATAGCGCACATTATTGTGTTGTGCGGTTGTATTGAGGCGTTCACATAATAAGGACATCGCAATCGAGCCATCAGTTCCCACAATTAAAGCCATCACACAATCAATGGTCGAAACACAACACACAATACACGCACTCAACGAACGGCACTCGAATCCAATCGACGCAACCAACCAATGGAGTGGCCGTTTTCAGTGCGGCCCTGAGTGCGGCACTCTTAGCGGTGATGTGATTGGCTGGCGGGTGTCTGCGGCCGAGCCTCTCATTGGCCACTCGCGGCTCGACTCTCGGCCAGTAATTGAGCGCTCATTGAATGCATGTTTGACTGCAATGTAGTCTTCACTGTATTGTGTGTAATATTGTGTCACTTTATTCACAGCCAAACCATAGCATAACATAACATAACATTACACTCACTCCACCACTCACTCAACCCATACACACAACACACACACTGTGTATAGCATAGCACTGCTTACACTGTCATCGCTCTCCCCCACACACACACACACTCTCCCCCATAGCTCTCCCATACACTCCCCGACACTCTCTCTCGCCTACAAACGCCTATACAATACAGTCAACTCTCGCGTCACACAAACCCCTCTCTCATTGCATAACAACTCCGGAGAGTGTCTGTACTGTATGTGTAGTGTATGTGTAGAGTATGTGTATAAATACCGCATTATTTTCGTGATGTTATGCGCTAGCATTGACAGTGCATTGAATTTGCTTATCGCTCATATGTCTGGCTACTCACACCACTGCTCAGTAGTACTGTTTATCGATTACAGTCATTATTGCATAACACTATGAAAATAATGCGAACAGTTTAGTGAGAGTACAGTCAGCGCTCTATTTAGTGAACCCGTGTTTCGGTGGACAAGCATTCCATTCACGTATCGATTGTGGCTCTGCTTTGGCAGTGCTTTGCCTGCAATGCATTGGTGTAGTGAGAGGTGGAGTACAACACATACCGTATATACACACCAAACACCAGCGCAGTGTCACTGCTGTGTCACACGTGACCACTACTGCTCCCAAACACCACTACAGTGTGTGTGACGTATACTTACACCCAAAACACTAAACCCAATGCGCTGTTCGTAAACACCGTTACGATTCCGGATTCTTACGCAACGAATGCATTGTATTTTAAGTTTTATAATGAAAATTGCATTCAAAATGCATTATAAATCGCTTATAAAACTCTAATTAATCGTAACGTTTTGTGCGAATGACTCGCTATTAATAGTATTAGGATTTAAAAAAAACTAAATGTCTGAATGAATTGATATGCCATCTATTGATTGCCAATAATATGGTTAATACGAGCGACAAGTTTTGGGTACAGAATATTCTGTACAGAATTTAATGCAAAAATTATTTGTAAAGAATATACGAAGGGATGAGAGGTTTAAATGAGTGGATAATTATTTGTGCCAATATTTTCATTGCATTCACAAACAATTTGCATAAATAAAATGCAATCGTCTCTCAAAAACATATGCTTTTGATTGACATGAAAAACGGCTGCATTTTTAACGCCAAATATTAGAGTAATTTATATTCAGAAATATTTAACGCAATAATAATTTTAATAGTTTTAATCAAAAAGAGTAATATAATAATCATTAATTAAATAATATGTTTCTCACAGTATTTATGAGATAAGAAGATCTCATTAATTGTTTTATTATGTAATGAGTACTTGAATACAGAGAGTAATACAATTGTTCACATATTTACCTCTATATAAGTCGTGTCGTTTGATTGATATTTTTGCTTAATAATAGCTTTTATAGTCATTTATATATATGATAGATATGAGAGAGAGAGAGAGAGAGAGAGAGAGAGAGAG